CTTCATCATTCTGACTTCATATTTTCGTAGATGAATCTCTCTCTGTCCACTCGTCAGGAGGTATTAACATTTGACTGCTTATACTTTTATTATATATATATATAAAAAATATGAAACTATGAATTTAATTTTTGGCAAATTAAAAGAGTGCTCAGTAGTATTTTCATAGAACTAAAATGTCAGACAAATTAATATATAAATATCAAAAACACTGACCTTCTTGCAACATTAGGCAACAAATTATTGCTCCATCTCAAAACCTACCCATAAATATACTTGTAGAAAGAGAGAGAGATGGAGGCAGTGGGTGGGAGGGCGAAATAAATTATAACTGTTTGTGCAAATACTCCTACCTGGAATCATGATTGGCCAGTAGGAATTTTTTTCACGTGCTTGCAGGCTGCCATTACGTTTGTCATTAAGTAGTTTGTGTCAATCAGGATATGTTGTTATGGCCAATTTTTCTTCTTGACAAAGCCTGCACATTCTTCTCCTGAGATATATGTGTGTGTGAGTGTGTAAAAAGAGTTCAATGTATTTATTATAACAGAGCATATAAATTACATAACAAAATACAAAATTACCTCATATGGGGAGGGGTATAAATTTAGTCTTATTCAACCCCAATGTACAGACTGAGTTCGTGTTGGAATTATAAATTTAAAATTTAACTTTGACAGCAGTTGAAAAATTGATACAGAATTTATCCATTTCGATGTTTCATTCAGACAAAATGGCCAAAGGGGAGGGTGGAAGTTATTAGCCTTAAAGAGAAGCCGTTTTATAAAATTAACCCGAAAATTGACCTTACCACATTAAATTGTGGTGGTGGTGGTGTGTATGTATATATATATATATAGTGTTTTCAAATTCTAGAGCAGCTTCTACTTCCGCACCTCAAAATAGAGCTCACTCCCCTACTTGGGCTATTATTAAAGTTAGAACAAGTGTGCTCCTTTTTCCACTCCATCCATATATTGTAATATTACATTAACAAATTCTCAACTGTATTTTCACCTAATCCACACTGTTCATTGTTCCCCATTAAAAATTTATTTCTTTATTTGTATGTGTGCTGATGAAAATTGAGAATAATTTGTCAGGGGTAGAAAATTTTAAGCAATTTAATTTAGATAAACAATCTTTTCATGCATACAAAAAAAAAATGATTTTTCAAGTCACTCACTACTGTGCATACTTCATTTTCAATCTTCAATCTTTTTTTTTTTTTTTTTAACTGTTTCAAGTCATGTTAAATAATGTTTGCTACAAGATGGTAAAGTGAATCATTAGGTGCGGGGAAAGAACATCATTGGCGTTTAACAGAAAACTGTTTAAGTCTGTATTTTCTCCCTACCCCCATATAAACTTAATGCATTTTGGGCATATTTAACACTTTCTACGATATTTTTAAATTCATCAAAGGCATGAAAAATTAGAAAATTTACTATTTAAAATAAGGCATAGCCAATTTTGTAAGCTCATGGATATTCCTTAGTCAGTTATGTTGTAGAAAAAAGAAGAGAGAAAAACAAAAAGTGACGAGAGGGTTCGCTGGCAAACCAGCTGTTCTTCTTCGCCATCAGTCGCCTCAAAGAAATGAATTGTGAGACTCCTTTTCTCGGCCGTTACACTGGGCAGTCATGAAACGGACACCCAAATCAGACGCGCCTACTTCAACCACCTCTTGGTCCGCCAGTCTATTTGCACGTCCGACTCTGTTTCACAAAGTCCGCCGAATGACTCGCCTTCTGCTGTGCCGCTGGCACCTCACCTTTTTATGCTAGTCCGACACTGCTGAAATTTGCATGTGTACTGGTACAATCTCGTTTTGGACGAGACCTGCGCATATAAATCGCGTCTTCGACAGCAGCCATGTTTTCTCTTGGATTTATCATGCAAGCAAGACATGTTCGCACACGTTTCGAGCTCCGAGGTAAGTCATCACATATGTGCCAAGCGTGATACACGCTTAAGCGATCATATATCTTTTGATACATGACTGACAAGGCAGATTTTTTTCCTGCAGTGGGTTGCCATTTCTTTCTGCGGTAGACCAGTTGCAATCCAAGGCTATAGAACCCATTCTGTCCAGCTATTTACCCATAGAGAAGAGGATTCATACTTTTCCCAAGGGTATTAGCACATAAGTGAATGTAATGAATTCGACTGGAATTCAAATTTGGCTCTCTGATTTCTCAATCCAAATCACTATCCATTACTCCACCGTAGAAACAAAAATCGCTACAATGTCTTCTAAACTTATGCAGCTATTCTGGCTTCATTACTACAAAAAAATATTTCAAGTATCAAATTCAGCATTGTTAAATTTTATTTTATCAAATTAGAGTTCAGCTTTAGCAAAAGTTGTTTTTCAAAATTTTCATCTTTTTTAAACTATTTTTTCTGAAAATACCTTCTTCAAGGCTGATAAGTCTCTCAAACCACTGAGGGTATCAGTGTATTAAACTTTTTAAAGAGACTTTTATTCTGAAAAGTCTTAACTTTTATTGGTAGCAAACCTGGTAGTGGAATAATTGCTTACCAGATCTAAAGTTGTGAGATTATTTCCTTTGCTTTCAAAGAACTTATTCCCTGAGTCCTCATTACCTGACATCCTGCTGATAAAATTCATTTTTAGGCTGGACATTTTTTTTTTCATTAAGACCCTCCCAGATAAGAGTTTTTCTCATCCCCATAAAAACAATTCAAGTTTTTGAACAGGGGAATAAAATACTGCTAGTAAGTAGTTTTTATCTTCTGTCTTGGATGCAGATCTTACATCATTTCCATTCCGCCAATGGCTTCCAAAATTTCAGCTTATCTTTCTTTGTTTTTAGCTTTTTCTTTTAATTGTTTAATAGTCGTGATAAAGAATCCAGCATAACTGTGTTTGTCACCCTGGAGGATGTTGTGCAAATGGCTTCATAACTTCCAACTCTTCAGATATAAAAAGAACTATAAACTTCTCAAGTTCAAATATGGCCATTAGAGAGTTTAGGTTATCTTCATATTTTTTTCAAAAGTTTCTTAAAGGCTGTTCCACTTGGTTATAATCCCCTGCATTTTCTCTGTACTTCATCTGTGTGGACTGATGTTGCTGCTTATTCCACACAGCTTGGCATTTGGCCAATGTAGACCAATAGTCTTTTGTGTACAATATTTCCCAAAGTTGTTTCTACACACACACACACACACACACACACACACACACACACGTGTGTTTAGTTTGGAAAAAATACTTGTTCAGGCTAATGAAGTGTTGAAGTCATATACTAAAGAAGAATATGGTGTTTGTACAAACAATGAATATGAAAATCATTCTTATAAAATTGATCAGTGTTCACCATGTATCATATTCACAACAACTATTGTGCCAAATTATTATGAATTTACTTGTATTTATTTCAGCCTATGCAATTCAAGTTGGATCAAAGGTTGGCCCGACTTCTTGGTATGCACACACAAACCCGCCCTGTCATTATCAATGCCCTCTGGCAGTATATCAAGACACACAAACTTCAAGATCCTCATGAACGAGAATACATTAATTGTGACAGATACTTGGAACAGGTTTATATTTTTTTTTTTTTTTTTATCTTTCATTACACACTGGAAATATGGCTTTATTCTTTACGTATTATGTACCTTTGATGAAATTGTTCATAATTCTGTTTGTTTTTTAAGACTAAATAAAGTGCTGAAAGATAAATTATAAGCTGTACATGTTTCTATCTGATAACAACCATCTCGTGTATTTTATAGACACTATAATGTTTTATAAATATTCACTAAAATTTATAATGAAGCTAAACACATTGCATAAACTGTGCATAAAGGCCACATTATTTTTCAGTACAAAATAAAATGTATTTGAAAATCTATGTATAATATATAAAAGAAAAATTATAATTATTAGAAAATCTGTGTGTAATGTATAAAATAGCTTATTTCAAGCCATCATTCTTTCAACAACTTTCAGACTTGTAGCTTTTGTTTTATAGGATCAGGGTTCTAGCATGCAATCATTTGCAAATAGATGGGAGTAAGCATGAAATATTACAGTTTGATAATTAATATAACAAAAAGATTAGACATTCCATGTAGGTAGCAGGTTAAATAAAACTACTTTGATTATAATAAAATTGTTTGAATTTTTTTTTTATATGAACAATTTTCATTATTGATTTCAAGCTAGTTTGTCTTTCATCTTATTTTTGTTTTTTTGTTAAAGTAAATTACCATATTTAGATTGTTTTACATTCTGTGACTGTTAAGTAGTCCACCTGCAGGACTCTGAAAACAATCTCTCAAGGATATGGGATGAGAGTTCAAATATTATCAGAGATTACATTTATTTTATACAAAGTCATAACAATGACATTTCTTTATCTTTTTCAAAAAGAAATTGGTTTGTCAATATGAATTTCACTTGTTCTCATTGACACCCATTGAAGTTAAAATAATGCAAAGTATTAAATTCCATCAATATCTCTTGGTCTTTTAATTCAAGTCAAAGGACATTGCCTTCTAATATGAAGAGATAAAACACTTAAATACATAGTTTTCTATGCAATCAAATGACATCCTGGATATGACCATTAGCTACATCCGGAAGCAAGGCCTCTGGGAGATTGAAGGTTTGAGGAGTGTTGAACTACTTTTTAATTGTTGTTGTTCCCAGGTCCTTCTAGGGTGGTTGCATATATGTTAGGGCCCCAACTATGGGCAAATAGGTAACCCCCAAAATGGGATCAAAACACTATGAATGTATAAAAATATTTTATAGTAAAAATACAAGCAATACATTTTCATTATTAAAAAAGAATACCAGCAATACAATACATTTTTGTTAAAAAGAAAATTAGCAGCAATACATTATTGCAAAAGAAATTACTAATGCTCCTAAGGAAATTAAATTTTGGCAGTAAATGACCTATAAGGGGTTGATATTTTTTTTAAGCATTTCGCCCCAAGCAAGGTGGGAGTGCCACTATCACACAAGGGGTTACAGATAGTGAAAGTAAGAGAAAAGAGGGGTGTTTGAGGAAAGGATAAAGAGAAGGATGGCGATCAAGGTATATGCCACTAAACAAAGAAAGCAACCAACTGACGTTTGACATAGAAAAACTGTTCCTGCATGCTTCCTTCAGTTTTTTCAAAATATATTTTTAGCTAAATTACAAAGAATTAGTTTTTCAACTTGTAAGTCTTTATATTGATTTATTTATTCAACTTTTTTTTTCTTTCAATTTCAGATATTCGAATGCAAGCGAATGAAGTTTGCTGAGATTCCATCCAAACTTCACCCACTCTTAATGGCGCCAGATCCCATCGTTATTAACCATATCATTGTGTAAGTCCATTTGTTTTTATTATTATTATTTTACCCACCCAATTCCTTGTGCTGTGCTTTCCTTTGGAATCTAAAATCTACTAATTCCTTTTAATGCTAACATGCAGAAATTTTGACAAATTGGACAAATGGAAGTAGGCCATTCTTGGGCTTTATTTTTTAAAGTTTAATTTTGAAAAAAATACGTCTTTATGTATGAAACACTTATTTAATATATTAAGTCAAAGTATAGATCACAATTTTCCAGTTTGTCTAAATTAGTCTTATGGTAGAAAATGTTAAAATTAAATTATTAATGATAAAAAAAAATAACCAGAAAAATAAACAAATAATAATAAAAATAACAAAAAATAATTCAAATTTAAATGATTTTGTTGATTAAAAATATAAACAGTCAATATAGCTAGTTTATTTGTCTCTGAAAGCATATACACAAATACCCTTGGGAAAGGTATGAATCCACTTCTTACCCTTAACTATAGGTTAAATAGTAGGATTTGTATCTAGAGAAATTGTTCTTCACAAAAATTGTTAATAAATATGTTTTGACTTTAAATAGCACACAAATGGTTAATCTGTAAAAAAAGAAAAATCAATCAATCAATGTTTCTGAAAACTTAAGAATTTAATAACAGATGATAATTTTTATTTTCACAATACATTAAAAATTGAGAAATCTCCTATGTAATAAATCTTATGGAGTCCAAGTAAAAACGCACATTTATAGAAATATTTTTGTTTTCCTACTTTATTTTTATTATTATTATTCTTTTTTTTTAATACTAATGTTTACCCAATACAATGCCCAAGATTCACTCAAGGTATTGGGTTACTATGTGGAATTGTATTAGCATAAGAACAGGCAAGAAGTGATGTTCTTAGGTCTATGCAGGAAAGAGAACAGCTAAGTCTAGACTTGAAGAGGTCAAGATTTAATTTGTGAATAACATTTCAGAGTTAAATCAAAGATGTTAGAAGTTTAGTGTGGAAATAGACTTTAAAAGGAACTGAAAACACAATCTTAAACAGAAAACCAGGGATAAACTTCTACTCCTTTTCAAAAGACCAGGGAGGAGTGTGAACCAGTTGATAGGCAACTCTATCTACTCTTGTTAAATCTATTATTATATTTCATCCTGATGCAAAAACTCTTGGGATTTCATAGATTAAATTAGATTTCATATAGATGTGCCAAAATTGTATATTCATTATCCATGATGTATGACTCTTATTGAATATTAGTAATGTATATCATTTGTCTAATTGTCAAAAGTTCTTTTTTTTTTTTTTTTTTTTTTTTTTTGATTGAAATGGTTGGCATATGCTATAAAGGGTGGCTTGCTTCCGCTGCACATTGTGCATATTTGGTTTTGATTGGTTTGGAAATACTTGCTCTATTTACAATGACATTTTCTTTCTCCTTTTACTTTTCTGGATGCATGCAGTGGTTGAAATACTAATTTTTTTTATTTTAATTTTTTTTATTATCCTTTTTTGAGTTATTAGACAAAGCAGCACACATCTTTTGTGCCAAAGGATTTTAAATTAATCTACCATTTTCAATATCAGTGTTAATATGCCTTCAAGATTAAAAATGTGGAAATTATAATGGAGTTGATATTTATGTCCAGCCAGAAGAGTCTTTCTTATTTGGCCACATGTTGGACAGTTAAGTTATAATCAGATAAACCATTTCATTGGGCACACATGTCAGCAAAATTTAATCGGCTAACTAAAAATAGATGGTAGCATTTGACATATAAGAAAGAATTAATTTCTATTAAATTGATCTGATACTCCTCCTGCTATTTTCAAATGTTGATGATAATAAATTTTACAAAAGATAAAAAAAAATTATTTGTATGAAAAAAATTCCCCTCTAAAATGTTTCTACATACCTCCTAGTTTTTTCCACTTTACACAAAGGTAAGTATAAGTTTGTGGTTTTTTTTTTTTTTTTGTTTTTTTTTTTCCCCTCTCAAAAAGCATGTCTTGTAGATGTGCTGTGGATTTTGGGTGACTCCCTAACAAATGACCTTCTTTTATTCTAGGGGGCCGTCAATGTATAACAGGGACCGCAAGAGCATGGACAGGTGAGAATAAGCTACAGCTGTTGCAGGATTATGCTTAGGCAGCTGGGCTTAGTCATGGTAACTGAGCTTGGGGGTATGGGGATTTGGTTTTTTAAAATAGGCTGAAAACAACCCACTCACAAGGTGAAATCATTTTGCACGTATCAAGATCATTATAATATTGATTCAAATAATATTTGTTTCCTGTGTCACTCTGCCCACATCAAGTGAATCTTTCTCTTACATATATAATGTGTGCGTGTGTGGAGGAAGGTGCATTTCCTTGATGCATTTTACTAAAAATATGTTACTATTTTGAAATGCATCAAAGAAAATCATCACGCAAAGCACATATAGAATAACATCAGCCCATTACTATAAAAATAGAATATATATATATATATATATATAGGATTAATATAAATATAAAATTTGATACTTAGCTGATTGAAGGTATATTCAGCACACCAAATCCAGAGTAATTGTATGGTCCACTCATCAGGAGGTTTCAGCAATTAGCTGCTGAATTTCTCATTTTTGTTAATTTTTATATCAAGTTAAAAACAATTTATGCACTATTCATTGGTGTTAGGTTGATTTTATTTTGTTTGTGTGTATGTGAGTATTTGTGTGATTTTGCACCTGCAGATAAATCTTGTGTTTGGGATCCTTGTTTCTGATAAGTCATGCTATTTGTGATGCACGCTTGGGCGATCATGTCTCTTTCAATTCAGGACTGACTAAACAGAAGATTTCGCACAGTTGGCTGCCATTTCTTTCTGTGATAGGTTATCTGGCCCAGTCTGTCATATCCTATTCGCCCCATAGCTGGAAGTGGGTGGGGGAAGAGATCAGTTCATGCCTTTTCCCAAGAGTATTTGCATGAAAGTGAATGTAACAGACCCAACTGGAATTTGAACTCTGCTCTCCAATTTCTCATTCCAAGCCATTATCTATTACACCACACCACACACCCATTTCTGATGATAAACTAAGAAAAATAAATACTGGAAAAATCAAAATTGAAATTTAAAACTTTATTGGATTTATTATCTTTTATTTTAATTTTTGACACAAAAAATATCATGCCAGAGATGATGATGATGATGAATAAATTAATGGAAAAAAACTTCTTTTTCAACATGATAGAAACAAAAATTATTTCTCCTCTTCTGTGTAAATTATTGTAAAAGAAGTATCTGTATTATTTACTTTCATGGTTTTAACAAAAATGTCTGATTTATTTTTATTTTTATTCTGAGAAAAATAAATCTTAAAATCAATCTGTAATTTTGTTGTCTTTTTAAACAGATCAAAACATCTTTCCAAAGAAACGTGGGTTGTTTTCTAAGCCAAACTTAATACAAATCTACTTATCATTCTTGATTTTTGCCTTTGCTTTCTTTTCCCCCCCCCCTTCTTCCTCTTCAACTTTGTATTTAATATTTTTCTAATACTGTTTTTGCATTGTTTTGATTTTTTTTTCTCAAAATTTCTGTTTTTATATATTCTTCAAACTGTCTTTTAGCTCATTTGTGTTATGGATGTTACTCTTGAATATGCTTTAAGCTATTTTATCAAATATTAAAATTTTATTACCAATAGACTTTAAAAAAGCTTATATACATACTAAGACAAGAGCCAAGAGCTACTTGAGCTAGATGGTTACTAAGAAGCACTAGCCCAAGCAAGGTGGTGATTTCACCAAGATGCAAGTGACCACTGGAAGTGAAAGAGAAGGAAAAGACTTTAGAAGGAACAGGAAACAAAACTGTTCAAAAGACCAGGGTGGAGTATGAAGCTGTTGAGGAAAAAACAAGTAAATAAATAGTAAATAGAAGTTTTAGCCAGATGCATTAGAAGTATAAAGTTGAAGAAGACTTTAGAAGGAAGTGGAAACCCACTCTTAAACAGGAAATGTGTTCCACATTGTAAATTGTTTATTCCAAGAAAAAGTATAACCTTACATTTGATAATCGTTACAAATTGCTTTGCAAAAGGATAAAATAAAGTCAAAGCTTCTCCTCAAATTCTATGTTTTATTCTCTCAAAGAGCCATAATCAAATAAACCCAGATAGCAGACTGAGAATTAAATAATTAATACTGATACACAATCTCTTAGCAACCAAAATTTGGAAAACTAAACATTTTGGCACCAAACATGACCTTATCTCAAAATGTGCTATTACTGTGTTCTAACAGACTTTGTAGAGTATAGCATTTAAAGACATCCAATCATCTCAGTCCTCCTACTAATTAGATATGACATCAGTAACTCATAGATACTTTGAAAACTGAGAATATTAAAAAAAGTCACATATTTCCTAAGAGGTGACAATCATTCCAGAAAATCCTAAAATTTTGTAGTGTCTATCCCTAAAAGTTTTGGATGGCACTTTATTTGATTTTGATATACTTTAATATTAAATCTATATAGTGTGTGTGTGCGTGTGTGCGTATATAATATATATATATATATAAATTTTGACTTATTCCAGTTAACAATAAACACACACATGCACATGCAGCTAAATCTTTCTGAAGGATCCTTGTTTCTGATAAGTCATGTTATCCATGACACACTTGGGAAATTATCTCTCTCTTAAGTTTCTTTCTGAAGTAGGCTGTTTGCCAACCAAGGTTATAGGGTGCAGTTTGTCCTGTCCTATTCAGCTCATAGCTGGTGGGGGGATCAATTAATACCTTTCGCAAGGATATTTGCACAAAAGTGAATGTATCGGACACAACTGAAATTCGAACTCTGCTCTGTTTTAACATCTATATTTAAAAAATGGAAAGCATTAACTCTTTGAAATTTTCATAATTTTTTTTATGGTAGTAAGAGGTTAAGAATTCCTCCTTTGGATTATTTGTAGAAGAATCTAGTCTGTAGAACAAAATACATCCCTCCCGCCCCTTTTAGAATCACTTTTCAGGAACAGATATTACTTTGACATGAGTAACATTTAGATCATGTGCCAATCTCTGATTCTTCTTTTGTCATTTCATAGAAATTCTTGCTAAGCTTTTCATTTATCATTACAAAGACTTCAAATTAATATCAATCATCAGTAAAGTCTGTTCTTATTAGTTAACTGATATTTTGTGATACTGTTTATCCTTTTGTTGCTACAAATTTTCCCTATCATATAACCTTTACTATTTATTGAGGGAGACTTTGTTTGCAATAGTCTTGATTTATTTTATGCTGTTATACAAGGCCCAAGAGCCATTCAAAGCAGAGGATTACTGAATGAGGTTTTTGTAAGGGCATAAAGAAGTGCATATTATGAGGATATGTAGGATAGATAACAGTTGTTCCTAGACTTGAAAAGGTTAAAATAATAGTGGTTCAGGAAGTATCCTCTTTGGAGTCTTCCACAGTTCTTGGGAAGAAGCTGTCTGAGTGGAATTTCCTTCTTACTAATGGAGTACAAAGAGAATATGGATGAGTCGATCCTCTGTACTTGACATGGAATCTTTAATTCTGATGTTTTCCTAAACTTCAGTTTTGTCAATGATTCCATTCTCTCCTGGAACAGTTGATTTGATTAGACAATGAAAAGAAACTGCCGTGTTTGAAATATTGTTAAAACAGATGAGGATAGCAAATTGTTTATTTTTAAAAGTTGTTTGATTCATGCTGCACTGTTGCTTTACTAAAGTTTGATTTCTCTTGGCATTGTGATTTCTTTTACTAACTGGATGTAAATTCATCATAGATGTGAATGTATAGTAGCAGAACTGTATTATGTCTCATCCTACAGCTAAAATATTTGTTGCACTGTGTTTATAAATAAAATCTAATTAAGAAAAGAGATTCATCTCTCTCTTTAATCAAATATATCATGAAGCCTATGTACAAAATTTTATGGATAATCATTTTTATTTGTTCATTGAATAAAAGATGATTGATGCATAATGCTGTAATTGAGCCAAGTTTTACAAATACTGAAACCATTGATGTAAATTGTGTCATAATAAACTGAGTAAACTATTGACAGATAATTTAAAATTTAAATCTGGTTTTGTATACACAAAATTTGTTTAAACTATAGTGTATGCGGCTCCAAATAATTTGTTTCATTAAAGACTGCTGACAAAGTACTGCAATTAAGCTTTTTAGTTAATTTTTCCCTATGTTCATACAAGTGCTTTCTTTTCTGAACACAAAGTGTGTAAAAATTGTTCAAAAGCCACACATTCAGTTAAAAATAAAAATTGTCCCTGATAATAGCTAAAAGAATAGCCAAAAGTGCAGGTTTATGCAGAACTTTTGGACAGTTTTTAGCAAAACTTGTATAAAAGAGGGATTGCTGTGCAAATAAACACACACACACACACGTGTATATATATATATATATATATATATATATATATATATAAGTGGTAAGGATAATCCAAATACATCTTTTTAACATAAGATTTTAAAAAGATAGATCCATGGAGAGAGCTCAATGTATCAAAATATAGAGCAATATGATATACATCAAAGGAAAAACTCATGTTTGGTAATAATATATTTTAGACAGACAATTGCCTCATCAGACCAGAGTTATAACTCCAGTCTGATGAGGCAGTTGCCTGTCTGAAATATATTATTACTGGACTCTTTAATGTTGTATTGAGTTTTTCCTTTGAGATAGAGATATATTTAATTTTTAAGAGAATTTGATTTATTTTAGCAATTTTAAATACTTTTAAAGTTTTAAATTTCAGTTATTACACATTTTTAGTTAGTATAAAATTTGAGAAATCATATCTGTATTTTTATAACAAATAGTTGCATTATATACTGGAGTAAAATTTCTATATTTTTCTTTTCAATATTATAATGCCAAAAATTATCCAAGGAAATGTTTTCTCACGTGTTAAAAAAAAAAAAAATTTCATGCATTATGGTTTTAAAAATAATATTACTTCAACTTCTTTATTAATACATATACTTATGATGTATTTTTCTCTCTTTTCCAGAATGGATGGGCCTGATGCCAAGAAGACAGCTTGCTATGATATAGATGTTGAAGTTGTAAGTATATTTTTCTTGTAATCTGTCCTCCCCTATTTGTAAAGTAGCATTTGCAAACAAACTTAAAAAATGACTCCTTGACTATGTATGCCACCTTTACATGAAATCTCTCCCTACCATGATGAGGAACAATGCCACATATTGATGGTGATTGTCAATATCTTTCGGGCACACTTCTTTCTGCCTCTTCAGTTAATCTGTTAATTGTAGAACTATTTTTGACAAGAGAGGAAAACATCAAATACAGTTGTTGCAGCACTGCTTCTAGCTACATTAAAAGCATTAACGAACAATATTTTAAACATGTAAATGACAGTTGCAAGGAAACAGAATGAATTTCAACCAGACAATATTTTACAGTTTGTTGTTTTTATATAACTCAGTAAAAAGAGAAAAAAAATACACTTAGTATACCTGCAAAAGGAAGAAGATATTACAAATTAGGAATTATGTGTGTGTGTAGGTGAGCAGTCACTAAGAGGGAAGATATCCTCATACCTGGGAGAAGATCCTGTTGGGTGTTGTCACTACAGCATGCTGAGCAAAAAAGAGAGAAAAGAGAATGAAGACAGGAACTGTCCTGTTTTTATAGGTGCTTAACAATACTCTCTAACACCTTCTTGGTGAAACTTGCAGTAATGTGGAGATAACCCACACAGTACAAGTTCTCAACAGTTATTCTTTTTGTGTAATCATCCTTTAACAATTCAACAGGACAAAATGAAGTTGGAATAAAGAAAATATTAGGTTTGTGCAACAGTTTCCAGCAATGGACACCTTTTTAACTGTCTATTTGTTCTGTAGTTTTAAAAACAAAAGTAAGCAAACTATATAAACTATAGTAGGTATGTGCTAAATTTCCCAGTGTTCTCTTGTGACTTTATTGTCGAGAAAGATTGAAATATAACAAATTTTCTCCAATTCGATACTCTCCCAAGATAAATCAAGTTAAAACCCGACATGGGAATGAAAAAATCCTTAATGTAAAATATCTATAAAACTAAGCACCAAATATATTTTATATAAAACCAGTAAAAAGGCTGACCAGGTTCTTGCACATTCACACTTGTGGATATTTGTCTTTTTCTAATTTAGGACGATACCTTAAAGCAGCAAATGAATTCTTTCTTACTCTCAACACAAAGCCAACAAGAAATAGCCACTTTAGACAATAAGGTAAGTAAACTTCACACTTTGCTGATTAACTTCACCTTCACACTTGCTGTGATTAACTTATAAGATTTTCTCATTTAAATTTTTACAATTAAATATTAAAGTACAAGGTGGCTGAAAAGAAACCCCCTATTTAAAATTGTTAATAACTTTATTAATTATTGATCAATTTTCATAAAATATGTTTTCTTTTGAACAGTATAATGGCAGCAGTACAGTGTTAAAATTCTGCCTTTTGCACATTTTCTTCCAATCTGGATATTGAAGGACGACTGCTTCTGTGGGTCTCTACCACAGATCCCGTAGTCATCGGCTTGGCATGACAATTTCTGATGGTTTTGCCATCTACTGAAGAACAAGATCCATAAACACTGCACCAACATCTTGGCACTTGTACCCGGACTGCCACACTTAGTAATGTGATGCTAGCTGCGTGCACTCATGCAGTGTCAGACACTGTGCCATTCTGGGCCATATTTGTCACTCTGAAATAAAAACCGAAATTAGCAATGAAATCCTACCACTTTATGGATCACAATATATTTTATTTCATCCAAATGTGGTGATAGTAACAAAAGTTACAAGTAATTTTCAGTAGGGCGTTTCTTTCCACCCACCCTGTATATTTATAGATACAGATTTGATATGGAGATAACATGTTTGGTTTTTTTTTGTTTTTTTTTTCAAATAATATTCTAACTTATGTTATAAATGTTTGTATAATATTTTAGATTACATCATTACTGATGTCAGCAATCATCTATCGCTGTTGCTTATTATTATTATTAATTGCCGAGTTTTGGGTGGCTTAAAGTTATTAGCACAGAATGTAATCTGAAAAAAGTTCAAACTCCAGCTGGAACAGTTTGCATTTACTTCATACTAATGCCCTTGAGAAAATCTCTGAACCCACTTCTCCTCCCAGCTATGTGTAAATAGCAGGGTAGTTTGAATCCCCTCAAGGCAATCGATGTTGGATATGCAATTAGTGGTCAAGAAGCATTCCTTATAACTGGTACCTTGTTATATAGAAAGGTGATGGCCACTACCAAATGCCAATGCATGTATTGCCATGAAAGATTCCATGAAGGGGGATTATAATAACACGATTTTTGTCCTTGAGTAGCAACTGATATTTCCTATTTGCTTACACCTAGAAAGTATAAAAGATGGTTAATATTTCTTTCCAACTTTGCTTTTGTGACCAGGATAATGATATTTCTCATGTGGAAAACTGGTGAATGTGAACATTCTTGTTTGTGCAAAGTAAGAACAAAATGACATAATTTAAAAGTAGCATTTATAGACATAGCAAAATGTGTCTACCAGATTCTTACAACCTCTTCATGCCAGCTGTGACAGATGCATCTATTAATGACGACTTGTCTGTACTTATACAGCTAAAAGTTAGCTGAACTTATGTTCCATGTATTTATACTGTCATGTATGTTGCCAGAATGTTGTAGAAATTTTTAAAATTTCTCAAAAGTTCTAGAAAATTCTTCTTCAGTAACTCATCACTGAATCTGTCTGGTATGTAATGGTTTGTTTTGTTTTGTTTTATGGCATATCAACCTCAATGGGTTATTTAATGTCAACAAAGTTTTTATTGCTGGTAATTTTTTTTTTTATCAAATTTTTTCCCTTCAAAAATCTATTTCTGGTAATATTTTTTTCTTCAAAAACTTATTGCTGGCAATAACTTTTTTTTTTACAAAGTATTTCTGGTATTAAAACCTATTTTTACACTTTCATAGTGTTTTGACCCCAGTTTGGGGGTTAACTATTTGCCCATAGCTGGGATCCTAACAGGTGCTACCACCAGGTTGGATCTTTTAGGGTCTCCTCTTAATTGCTGGTTCAATTACGAGGTGGTTCCATGCTCCTCAAAGCCTCTTGATCAGAGGCCTTGCTGTTGGACGAAGTTTATCGTCTTACCCAGGATGTGGATGTAGTTTATTGTCATACCCAGGACAGGGTATGTAATGGAAAATAGATTAGTTTCAAAATATCAGTGTCCAAGTCATAAAAGTAAAATTTGAAGGGAATAATGTTCATTTTCATTGCTTTCTAGACAAGCAATTAGGAAATAAAATTTACTAATCAAAGACAAAAAATGTCAAAATTTCATTACAATGTTATTTAGCATAGCATCTCAACATTAAAATAGATTACAGGAAACATTAATGTCTATTTGTCTTTGCTTCACAACTCCTCACTAGTAACATTGACCCGCATTTGCACTTTTAAAGAAAGAGGCAGTGTATGAAATAAAATTAGATGAAAAATGTGGTGTACATTGATGTAAAACCTGGTATTGCAAATTTTTGTTGTAGGTGGAGAATAATATAAAACAATGATCATGATTGTATTTAGCACAGATTGCATGAGTTTATGTAGGCAATGTTTTGACTTATTGTTGAGATAATGAGACCAAGTGGAAATGACAGACAAGGCATTTCACCTCTTTATAGTAAACGTCTTCAGTTTGGAACAAGAGTAATAAACCCATGTGTAAGGAAAGTTTGTTGGAGAAGTGGTAATACATATCCTTATCCGATTCTACGGTCAGAAAGTTCCCCATTCTTTTATTGAGGCCAATAATATCAGCTGGATTTAAAATTAGCTCACTCAGAGTAGATCTATTTTTTCTTGTTTAGTTTGTATACCACACTAATGCTTTTACTATGATTGGTGATATTGTACATGAGATTGATTCCAGAGAATTGAGAGATCGGTATGCTTTCAATGCATTTTCTTAGTGAATTATTTTCTCTTCTAATCAAGCTGGCATTTATTGAGTCGAAATTGTGATCAGATATGTTAGAGTGAATTACTAGTGTGTTTAAAGTTTTATGTGGTAGCCGCCGCCTTTGCTGGTCCATCTGATGTCCAATCTCTGCGGTTGATTGATGAGTTAACTGCTTCAATCCAAGTGTTGCTTTATCCCATGTTGTGTTTGATTTTGATCATAAAGCTGGCAAGAATTGAATTGTCGACAGAAATCATATTGGCTTAGTCCAGGCAGAGTGAAGTCACAAGTTAAAAAAAAAAATGTTTTTATATATAAGTTCTTTGTACAGGACTTAGTTAATTCTTGATATTAAAATTATTAGTTCTTCATGCAGAAAAATATCGGCCCTTCCTGCTTTGTATGTTAAACGTGACACTTCAGGCAGGAAGTCACAGGAGATCATGTGAAGCGGTCATCTCTTGTCTGATGTTTGGAACAACTCTCTTGGTCTCTTTGATCTCTTGTTTTTACAGACCTTTCCCTGAAACTGGCATGGGGTACAATGTGACCTGAGGTTCTGGTGATTCCCCTAATTGTCAACAAGAGCCCATTGTTGTCTGGTCCTGGGAAATTAATTACATGCCCAATTTTGGGGAGATTCCCTCTTCCATGGGTAGTGGTCGCAGGATATCGATCCGCCCTATCTCTTTCCTTCTCATTTTGATACCTCACATCAAAACTTCCAAAAGGGCATGGGCAATTCTTTCATCTTCTTTGATATATCACCTGCACCTGCCACCTTGGCAACCCTTCGACCAATCTATCTTTCAACCACTTGGCATGGCTTAACTTATGGTCATTAATTAAAATTATCATTTGAAATTTCACATAAGCGAAATTTTCCCAGCCTGGTTTTGCTTAAAAATCAGAAATTTATCATCTGGTTCCTCTGCTCAGCTTTTCTCCCGATCATGCCAGGGTCATTGCACTCCAAATACCCTAAGTTACACAAAGAAACTCTATTCCCTTGATTTGGTTACAGATCAAATCTTATTCGTCTTACTTATATTGTGTTTTCATAACCAGTACTTTGGAGTTGCCTCATTAATCAGCTGTTGGCTTCTTGTGGTAATATTACCTTTTCTTTAAGTAATTTTTTTTTTTTTTTTTTTTTTTTAGAGAATTAAGCTTTCCTCTTGGAAAAAGAGAAATCTCCCTTCTTTCTATTGGTCTGTCTATTGTTCTATTCATTAAACCTTCTTGTTTTGTTCCGTGCTATGTTTTTGATTTAACCCCCTTTCTTTCCATTTACCAGTGTCAAATAGTATCACAATGCAATAGATGTTCATATAGTTGCTTTTTGAGATTTCTGGATGTTTCACCAATATATATCATTGGACATTATGTGTAATTTATTCTTGCTTTTGTTTTATTGTTGTTGCTATTCTGTTTGGTGCTGACTATATCTTGATTTATTTTTGTCAACTGGCTTTGCCATTACTCCATCACTTCCCCAACTTTTAGTTATTTCTACATGAGCAAAGTATTTCTATTAGTGAGGCTGAACATTTGAATCTTTGGTCTAAGATTTTTTTGAACAAATTTTGGCATTCAATCTGTGCATTGAAAACCTGGAGAAAAAAAAGGGATTGTCAGTGGTCAGAAAATAAGACAAGCATTAGTAATAGAACAAAGTGATATATATAATGCACATTTGTGATAAAGTATTTTTGTATGCTTTACATGTAGTAAATGAAATCTGTTTTTTTTTCCTCTCTCTCTCTCTCTCTTTTTGTAGCAAAATGTTTAAAATAAAGATCTGGCAATCATTTGATTAAATTGCTGATAGCCACACATCTCTCACTTTCACAACTCATGTCTATTCACTTTTTCAGATTCATGAAACAGTTGAAACAATTAATCAGCTCAAAATTAACCGTGAATTTTTCTTGAGCTTTGCTAAAGATCCACTGGAATTTATTAATAATTGGCTCATTTCACAGACCCGTGACCTCAAGGTGAGTTGATAGATCCTTAGATGTTTTCTTTAAAACTGTAGTAATAAATTCGAAAAACTTTTCTGTGGATTTTGTTGATCCAATTAAAAACTCTCCAAGATTACCATATTTAGTTTTATTTTAGTTTATCAATATTTTTTGATTAGCTAGTGGCTTGTATTTCTATACATTATTCTTATCAAAAAAATAATACTTATACAAGTCAAAAGAAAGCAGAATTACTATTTATTTTCTGTGGTAGAGAAAAAATGACATAAAATATCCTTGCTTCAGTTGCGTATAATGAGGCAAAAAAATAAAAATAAGGATTTGCACTGATTCTGATACAGACTTCTTAAATAAAATGTGTCCGCAAATTTTAAGTGTAAATTTTAAAAAATAAAAGGTATGTATTTTCTTTGTGTTTTGAAGAGATTTTTGTGATTAAATATACAACAAACAGACCATCTCTTTTATTTAGTGCCTCAGTTCTAATTATTATATTAAAAAAAATCCAGTCATTGTTTCACTGTATAACAACCAAGTGTCAGAAGAAGATATTTTCTTGTAGAATGGCTGTTATAACATTACAAAGTCTGCTTTGGAACTTGGCTAGTTTATCTAAGCTGATTGCTCGTTGTCAATTGATTTGTCCTTGTGTCAGATTTGGCTAACTTTAGAAACTATCTGTATAAAAGCACTTGGCAATTTTGAGAAAAATTGTTTAGCAAATCAATCAAAATGCATACATACAAAAATGAAGGGGTGCTGAATAGTTCTTTACCTGAGGCCTCTGCCAAAATTTTTGACAAGTAGGTTGGGCAGAGAATTTTTCAGCACAACCTTGTCCCTGTGTATGTGTCAAGGTATTTTGATCATCAATCTTTGCTATATATATATAACTGAATGGGTAAATGTAGGTAGATGTACAAGTGATTGATTGTATACAAATACATATAAATACTCTATAGTGTAAGAAAAAATGGTGCTCAATGTTAAATAACAGCTATTTAATATATATTAAGAACTATACAAAATACCTTAAATTGATTTCACAACTTCATGCTGAAGCAATTATCAAATCCCAGTATTTTTATTTTGGGTTGACACTGGTTTTGCAAAATTTCTGGTTATTGCAAGATACTTAATTGTTGGAGTGCAAGATTATTGTTGTTAAAATATTTAAATGAATTGTGGTTTAATTTTGAGTTTGAATTTAGGCCCAGGTTAACATTTAAGATTGAAAATAGATTGGAAAATCTAGATTGAAAAATATTTTTTCTAAAATATTCTTTTAAAAAATTTTGAAATTACTTTCATCTCTCGTTTTGTTCACATGTGTAGACATGGCAACATCAACAAAGGCCAATCTGATGAAATCCTAAAATATAAAGCACATCATTAAAAATTTTTCTAATTTATCATATTTTTCTAAATACACATACTAACAAACATACACACATTTATTTAATAATTATATAAATAAATAAATAATTGTTTTATTACCCTTTAAGTGGAGGAACATTTACTTCACCAATCCAAGACGAATTTGGATTGCTATCACACATGAAAGGCTAGTTAAACATAGGAAAACAAAGAAAAAAACTAATTCTTTTAAATAATATATGGAAATAACCATTCTTTGCCTGATGATGGTCACAAGACCTGAAGCAAAAATATGGAAAATAAAGTATAATATATATTTTTAAAAATTAAATAAATAAAAAATTCGCATTAAAACCAAAAACATTTGTGGCTTCTCTTTTTTTTTTCTTTTTTTTTTAAATATACACCTTTCTCTCATCAGAACAAATTTACTCTCTCCCTTATATATATATATATATATATATATATATATATATATATATGCACAAACTTAGTTACATCAATAAATTTGTAACCTGATGATGAAAAAGAATTATTATTATTTACAAATATTTATGTTTCAATATGATCTCTACTTCATTTCCTTGTTAATGCACTTAATTTGATGGTGAATGTTAATCACATAGATCAATCATTATACAGTGAAAATTTCAGATCAAAATTCAGCTAATAAAGGTGAATTAAAATGTTCATTGCTTGATATTTATGTACATTAATTTTTTGTTCTAAATAAACAAATTCAAAAAAAAAAAAAAAACTAAACATATTAAATCATATTGAAAATTCATTGTGTATACCCCCCATCCCTCCAAAATACTATTTTAACATTGTTTCTTAACCATAGTATAGCTTTGATCTTTTATAAGAGTGTATTAAAATTTTTAGTGATGTATACACAATCGCACAAATTTTTTCACATACCTCATATTTGTCAAGCACAAATAATGGTTGTGTTAAATGTTTGTTTGTGATTCTTTCATCTTTGTACTTCTTTCTAATTCTCAAAGACTGAACCAGGTTATACTCATCTATTTCATGTTTGCAATAGTTTCTAGTGCTTTTTGGAAGAATAAAGACTAGATATACTGCTGGAAATTTATGCACACTAAATGCAGCATTTATATAATTTTCATTGAGGCTTCTTTTTTTTCTTTTTTTAAACCCGTGTCTTCTTTCAAGAGAAATGCTGTCTGTGTGATGTTTAGAATTTATCAAAATCATTTCTCTTTCAGACCATGACTGACGTGGTCGGTAATCCTGAAGAGGAAAGACGGGCAGATTATTATTATCAACCATGGGTGCAGGAAGCTGTTTGCCGCTATTTTTATGGCAAGGTAGGTTGCTGCTTTCTTATCCAAATTGTTTTATAATGATGAAATTAGCTCAAAAGTAATAACTCTACTTAATGTGATGTCATTACATAAGCGAATGTTTTATTATTTACTAAGTTGAGGCTACATTAATGAAGCACCTACTGAGAAGCAAACTTAGGAGTGATTTTTTTTTAATTTTTTTTTTTTTATTTTTATCAGTGTTCACCCAGTACAAGGCTCATTAGCCACTCTATGTAGTGGTTTGCTTAATCAGGTGTGTACTATGAATGTAAGAGTAGAAAGGGAGGATTATATAGGAAATAGGTAATGTCAACGCTTATAGTGTTCAGGGAAGCACCCACACAAGATCTGTTCCACAAAGCAGCAATTCTAATAGGTAACCATGCAATAAACATTGTTATTATAGACACTCATAATTACACTAGTTTGTACTAAGAGCAATACTAACAAAGCTATCAAGTATCAAACTAACAATATTAATGAATTGGTCTGTGGAGCAAACTGTCTAGTTGTGACAGATTATAGAAAATACCTGATCAATATATACTGACTTGAATTCTATAAAAATTTTGTGATAATCAAATAGTCACTAATCAGTTTTCAAGTTCATTTTATTATAGGATTGTAGTCATTTTACTGAGTCCTTAGTCAGCTTGAATGAAATCTTGTAACAATAAGCCTTTCACTGAATATATACAAGCAAGTCTTGTGGGTCGAAATAGCTGTTCAAATTATGGTAACTTTGGATTTTTATTTTATGTAATATAAGGCTCAAACACTAATATTCCATGGTTATAATTTATTACATTGGAATCATAATCCTGATCCAATTCATCAGACTTACAAATTCAAAAAGTGTAGTTCATACCAATTTTTAGTCATTCATTTTCCAACTTGTTAGAACACATCAAATTTATTAACAGATACAATATGCTTACATTTCCGATTAGGGCACACTTCAACTTCAAAGAGAGTTTAAAATGACTTAATTTGTGTCAGTTTTACATACCTATGAAAATGGAAGATTATAAGATGCTTTTTTGCAGTAAAGGCAAAAAATGCCTCACAAGCAACAAAAGAGATATGTACTGTGTATGATGAAGGTTCTTTAGCTGACAGAAATGTATGGAAGTGGTTCACTAAGTTTAGAGTTGGTGATTACAGGCTTATTGATGAGGAATGCTCAGGCAGACCCCCACCCCCAAACTACAGCCGACAACCAAATCAAGACATTGATTATGAATAACCTGCATCACATAACATGAGAATTGACAGAAACACTAACTTTATCAAAATCTATCATCCATGAGCACCTAGTGAAGCTTGGATACTCAAATCACTATAATGTTTGGGTACCACATGATCTGAGTGTAAAGAATCTTTTGGATTGCATTTCATCTGTGATTTGCTGTATAAATGCAATGAAAATGCACCCTTTTTGAAGCAAATTGTGATGAGTGATGAAAAATGGATCGTTTACAATGATGTTCAGCAATGAAAGATCCTGGGGTAAGTGACATGAGCCAACTTTAGCCATTTTCCAAAAGCAGATCTTCATCCTAAGAAAGTCATGCTGTGCAACTGGTGGGGATTGGAAAGGAATTCTGTACTATGAGCTTCTGTCAAGTAACCAGTCAATTGATTCTGAAAAGAACTGCTCACAACAGAACGAATTAAAGAAAGCAATTCAAGGAAAAAATTTTTTTTTTTTTTTTTTTTTGTGGCCTGCCAAAAATTGTTGCAGCTTGGCTGTGATGTGTTACCCAATCTGCTATATTCACCAGACATCGCTCCTTCTGATTTTCATTTATTCAGGTCCTTGCAAAATAATCTCATTGGTAAAAATTTTAATTGTTTGAATGACATAAAAAAAAACATCATTAATGATTTCTTTGCTGAGAAACAATCAAATTTTTTGGAAGATGGCATGTAAGTTAAAAGAAAAATGTAGAAAGGTTGGGCAACAAAATGGCTCATATTTAATTGAATAAATATTTAATAGCATTAAAAATCGGCATTAACTTTCCAGACAACCTAATATAGAGGTGTTGTAGTTTCCTTGTAAATAATCCCATGAATAGCTAGTAATATTTAATATTTGACTTGGAAATAAATTAGCTTCTGATCAAAACTACAGTGCATTCACTTGAACTCAGATATGTTTTGTATAACTAATTAATCTTTCTGTTTATAAAGTCATTCTTGATTCTCTGCATTATAAACTACACTATTTCATTTTTAAGCAATTGTTATATTAATGTTAATTATATAGTTATTATAATGTATTGATTTGAGGTTAAAATGTGTTTGTTTGTTTTTGCAGGTGCAGCAAAGGCGGCTGGAACTGGAGCAGGCTTTAGGGATCAGGAATGCATAGAAGATTTAAACAAGATTTGCATCCAATGCATTCCTCCCATCTTCCATTTTATCATTTACATAAATGTAGACCATCATTCCACTCTTCCTGCAAATAAAGTCAATTTTCATTTATTTCTTTTTCCCTTTTTAATAAGCATTTATAATTGACTGGATTGACTGAAACACTTTTGGCACTAGTTATATCTCACTTGAGATTTTTCCTCCTAAACTTTTTTTTTTATTTTATTTGTTGTAAAGTGATGCCTTTTGATATGGTTAGCATGTTATGCAATATAGCCTTACTGGTAATCATTTCTGTTGAAGTGATAAAGAAATGGGAATATTTCTTATTCATGTTAAACTTATTAAAGACATCACCTTGACTTGGAAAGCTGTATTTAAATCAACTTTAGAGTGGGATGATGTCTTTCTTGGCTCTGTACCAAACAGAAAGAAACCCAATGGTTAATATATAAAAGCTACTCTCAGTCAATTTCAATTTTCCTGTTGTAGTGGATTGGTTAATAAGATTGTACCTATTTACATATGTTGAGTGGAAAAGATATAAAGTGTATAGTAAACAAAGAGACAAGCAAGAAATTAATTACTGATCACATGTCGTAGAACAACACAATGCAACATCTGTATTTAAAACAAATTATTATCATCTTTCTGTTGGCCTTACTTAAGAACTTTAGCAGCCACAATGAATGCTTCTGTTTTCCAAAACTTCAATGATTATGTTGGGAACATTTTTATTTAAGGAGAGAAAAAAAAACTAAAACCTCCATATATATAAAGTAATGAAAATCTTGGTAATCTGTATGGATAATTCCAAGGAGGATAAAATCCAGAGAGCTCAATGTTAAGTCAGAGCGAATAATTTCATTTAAAGAAAAAACAGACTACTTTATGGTTCCATTAGTTATAATTTATTTCACCAGAGATTTTATTTTTCTCTGGATCTTCAGACTTCACTTTCAAGTCTGAAAAAATGAATTTAAAATTTACACATTTGAAGGGCAGTATTAAGCTTATATAAGGTGACATAGATGGTGGTGAGGGATAGTGGGAGAGACATGGTCGAATTTAGAGAGGGAAGAGAGAGTTTTAAAATGTATTTTTATTTTCATTTTTACTACAATACTTAATATTGAGGAGGAGGGGGTAAGGATCAGACAATAACCTATTTAATCGGTCAACTCACTGGAAATGATACGAGAAAACAAGGAGAAAAGGAAAAGGGGGAAAGTAAAGAGATAAGAAATAAGAGATGGACGTAGGGTTTTGAAGGAAGGAGAAGGGTGGTATAGCTTGATATTTGGGCAATTTAGATAAACACAGATCTTAATGTTTGATAGTAATTTAAATGTTTAAAAACTCCACAAACTAGATTTAATGCTTGATAGCAATTTAAATATTTAACTTCTCCACAAATAAATTAGGGATTTAATATAAATTGAATATTATATTAATAAACTAATATAAAGATAAAAATTTACTAATAGCAATATTTTAATATTGTGAATGACGGTTAAGGTAAAATCTTTATTAGAGTCTAATTCATCCATTTAATCTGAAGCTATTTTTAGATGAATAATATTTCTTAATTAAAGTTTAAGTTTCAAATCAAAATGAAGTAAGATTTGAAGGTAGTAATAAAAGAATTTACTGTTTTTACATACATGCACCGCATACATATCTACATAAATACACATACACATATCTTCATATACATGTACAATTACATATATAACTGCATACACATGTATCAATACACATCAGTATACATGCACATACATACACAATGCATCCATCTTTATACATATTTCCACATGCATCCATCTTTATACATATTTAAATTTTTTGAATTAAATTTTACAGTTAACATTAGTGAATTAAGTGTTTAAATTTCAAAAAAATATTTTTAATTTTAAGATTTTTAACTTAAATCTAAGTGATCAATTTAAATTGAAATTATCTCCAGATGAGTAAAATTTCTAATTTTTCAAGTCTATCTAGAAATTACTTCAAGATGTTAGAAGGTAATACAAGAATTAGAAGTTAATATAGAAATTTCTGTCTTTACATTAAATCTCTATTTATACAAACATACACACATATATACATATATATGCATACAATTATATCTTATACATATATTCATATACACCACATATATATAATTCCATAAATATATATATATATATATACACACACAAATATATATGCAACCCCATACACATGAATCTCTCTCTCTCTATATATATATATATATATAGTAATTCATCGAGTCTGAAAGAAACCTCAACAGAATGCAGAAAGCACTGGACGGACGTTTTGTCCTATATTTGGGGCAGAAACAGCCATCCAGTGCTTTCTGCATTCTGTTGAGGTTTCTTTCAGACTCGATGAATTACTTAAATATAATTATCAAATCCTCCTAATAATTACTATCTGTGTATATCATTGCTTGAACTGGCTTCTAATGCTCTAGAGTGAGCGGCTTGGTGAGAGTAGTCGTGGCTCCAGGGAGCACAGTCCTATGGTTAGAGAGAACTCAATAGAGTTCCACCACAGAATATGTGAGAGAGCGGCACTATATTGTGTCTGATTTGCAATCTCTTCATCACCAAGGCCTATTGGAACAGTTGGTATAATGTTTGCTTGACAACCTAACTGTCAGGTTTTCAATTCTCGGTAGTTGATGCGCATTGCTGATGAGTCCCAAATATAGGATGAAATGGCCGTCCAGTGCTTTCTGCATTCTGTTACTTAATATAATTATCAAATCCTCCTAATAATATATATATATATATATATATATATATCCACATATCCACATACAATGCCATATACACATTTTTATACATACAAATATGTATCAGCATACAAGCACCTCATATCTAAACACGCAAATATTTACCATCATATATAATTATACCAACATTAAATCATAGCCTAAAGGTAAGAATGTATATCAATGTACTTATGCCCATATACAACTGCATATATATTATAACTGATAGTGATTTTTTTTTTTTGTTTAGGTGTAGTGAGTTATATTGAGATGATGATGATATATATATATATATATATATATATATATATATATATATGACAATGCAATAAATTATTTTCCCAGTTTGCTAACTATGAGTCTTTTAAATATACACAATCTGTTCAGAAAGTATGCAGCCATTTTGAATAACTTGTGAACTGATTATGTGGCCTTGATGTAAGTTAACAACTAATCAGAAAGCACTTTACTACACACGATTGGACATACACTCATAGATGTTACTTATTTGGCATTAAGATACTATTGAGAAAACGTGTATTGTGTGACCATTGTATTCATCACAACATTGTGCCTGTCCATTCTTCCCATTTTGTGAATTTATTTATTTATTTTTTTTAATTGCAAACATTGTATCACCCATGTATGTCAGCAAATAGTCACGATTTAGTACCCAGCAATTTTTAGCTTTTCACACAGCTAACAAACACTATTGAAAAAAGAGATTTTGTATCATGAATGAGATCAAGGAATCACAATCCGCAAAAAAAGACTACAGACTTTTGAAATGTAAATGAGATGCAGATAAATGGGTGAGATTTTGAGGAGTGTACCTTAGGGAGTACAAACTAAATTTACTATCATTACTATGTTGACTTCACCTAAGATGAACACTTCAAGAGCCACAATGAATTCTTCTCATTCCAAGAGTTTTAATGACTATGTAGTCAACAGGTTTATTATAGAAGAAAAAGATAAAATTGAAACAAAAAAAATAGATGCACTGCAGAAAAGAAAAAGTCACAGATAAAAAATATGGATGAAGAAAATACATGGAAAGTAAGAAAAAAAAAAAAAATGAAATATTTGTACAAGTTTAAAGTGCTGAATCACTTCTGACTACCAACTTATTCTGTAAAATTTTCATTTCAAAATACCGTATTTGACGGCATATAAGATGCATGGGTGTATAAGTCAGTCAGTTACGTGCCATATATGATACTTAGGTGATCATGTATCTTTCGATACATGACTGATAAGGCAGATTTTTTTCCTGCAGTAGGTTGCCATTTCTTTCTGTGGTAGACCAGTTGCCATCCAAGGCTATAGAACCCAGTCTTTCCTGATATTTACCTATAGCTTGGGCGGGGGAGAGGAAGAGGATCCATATCTTTCCCAAGGATATTAGCATGTAAGTGAATGTAAAGGATTCAATTGGAATTTGAACTCAGCTCTTCGATTCCTCAATTCGAACTGCTATCCATTACTCCACCACAGCAGGGAAAATCAAGTAAAGATTAGTAATTAATAAAATTATTAGTAAATGGTACAGCCTAGGATATATTTATGAGGTATTATTTTGGTTAAACAAGCCATGATTACAATTAAATGAAAAATAATAGGAAAAAAGAATATGAGCCTATAAGAACTCTATTATATTCAAAGGTAAGAAAACAATAAAAATCAAGCAATTATTATAATTGAGCAAAACAGTACAGTTACCATTTAAAACTTCATTCATCTTCAAATCTATAAAATTCGTCATCTTCATTATCAAAATTCTGATACTCATTTTCAATATTACTATCATCGTCATTAAATAATGCGTCATCTTTCATTCCATTGAGAGCATAGCATTCCAGAAATTGTCCCAAGCTTGCTTCACCCATTCGCAGACTTATGCAGTGCTGGGTCTTTTTCTTCTTCTTGTAAGTGTAAGTTCGTGATGAGGCATTGCCCTCCACGTGTTCCATTACTTCTTCATGTTTATGATAGTTTACTTCCGGTCATGAGAAAACTTTGGCTTCAAAAGAAGAAACTTAACTCAAAACAGTCTTTGTAAAATCACCGCAGTTATTCTGGTATATAAAATTTTGTATTGGTACTTTCTTCTTTTTCCGCTTACTTTGTTGATGTGTTGAATATTTTGACAAAGCCACATCTTTGACCTCGCTCAACCTTCCACACTTTTAAATTGCAGTGACTAGGAAAACCAAACT